AGGGAGGGACTGTTAGGGAGCTCCCCCCATGCAGACCCTGGCTGACCCCTCGCCTCTCCCATTCAGTCAGGCACACGTGTCCCTCCACCCCCACTCAGACACCCACTCCCTATCCCCATGTGTCCTTGCACCCCCTGTCCACATGTGTCGCTCCATCTTCACCCAGACACCCACTCCTGCATCTCCATGTGGCCCTGCGTCACCTCCCTTGGTCCCAATGTGTCTCCATGCCCCCTCTCAGCCATTCTCCCGTCCCTATGTGGCCCTGCACCTCCCTTCCCCCTGTGGCCCAGAGCCTCATCTCCCATTGAGCCCCTGCCCAGTCTGTCCTCCCCCACTAGCCCTTATGAGCCTCTGTCTGACCCCCCAGCAGCCCTACACTGTCTGTCTCTCCATAGCCCCCAGTCTCCTGACTTGACCCTAAAGGTACTGTGAAGAAGGCTCTGCAGGCTCTTTCTCTTCCCTAGCTGTCTGGGAGCAGCTGCTGTGTTCTATTGCCACAGTGCCCTCTGGTGGGCAAAAGGTGGAACCGCAGCAACTTTTCAGCAGAAGCTTTTTCTGCGCAAAAATAAAAATGTGTGAGGCTCATAAATTATGTGCACGCACAGTGGCGCAGAATTCCCCTCGGAGTAACGTAGGTATTAATCACTAAAAACTGTGATTACTAGCAATTAAGCTTTCAATGCTCCAGGAGTTATTTTTCAGTTACCTATCTCTGTTAACTTTTGAAGCCAGATTCTGTCATGCTTAGTACACGAGGCATGGATATGATTTCCTGATTATCATGCTGCCAGCTCAGGTCCTGAAGGGAGTTAGAGCAGTCTATCCTTCCTATCTTCACATACAGGTGGACGAACAAAGATAGGAGCTGGGTAGGTCTGGTTCCTGATCCTTTACTCCCTATACGCTATCTGGTAGCTGGGGTGTGTACTAGCTATTCTGGAGCCTTGCAAGTAACTTCTGATGCCTGGAGTGACAAATATTTTTTAGGGTGCTTTATTGGCACCAGTTTTTATTGGCAGTAAAAGACTACTTACAGATAATTTCAACCAATCAATTTGATTCTTTACCATATTGCTATAATAGCATAAGTGTAATATAGAATAGTGCAGAACTTTCACAACCCTCAGTCCTGAACTAGAGGTGATCTATGGACCGCTTATTGGTGGTCTAAAGACAGCTGGCTGTCCAAATTGTGCTGGCTTTCCTTTTTTTTTTTGTTATTTTTGCAATAAAGACAGCTACAAATGAATTAGTTTCCTGATACTTCTTTTCTCTGTAACCAATTGCTATATTTTCCAAAGGGATATTATGCACTCATCAATAGGAGGGGAGCTGGTCAGAGGTTGTCTTCTCAACTATCTCTCTGTTAAGTTGTGATCCACACATTGAAGAAAGTAGGAAACCCTGGAATAGTGTTCTCCTTCAGTCTTCATTTAGTGCACTGTGAACATGAAAGGAAAGAACCTAAAATCAATAAAGATGAGGATGGATGCTTATATTTTTATCACAATTACATATGTAAGACTTATAATAAAAATGATATGCAAACAATATCAGATGCACAGAGCTGCCAGCTCTAACCTGGTTACAGCTGCTGCTAATTACATATATGTTTCAACTGCACTCTGGCAAGTCTACATGTACTGGAATTTTAAATGTTTTGTTATTTCTGTAATGCCATGGACTGTGCCTTCAGAGTTTACAATCTAAATTAAGGGCAGAACTGAGCAGCTGCTGAAGGGACAGTTTGCAACACAATTTGGTTGCAGAAAGATTGAGTGTCATGTGTTCACTGAACAATCATTCTGAACAATTGATTTTAAGATAGGCATCGTCATCGAAGAAGATATGTTACTTGTGTTTCCTCGTCTGATTGTAATTTGAACAAGAGATAATACAGGAATGACTCACAAATGTTCATTGTGAGCAGGTATTAACTGATACTTTCTCTTTCAGCTAATCTTCCAGTACCAACAATTGCTGCGATAGATGGGACTGCATTAGGTGGTGGCCTAGAACTGGCATTAGCCTGTGACATAAGAGTGGCAGGTAAGACTGAATCCTATTAAATGATCAGGAGATTATTAGCATTATAGAAGGCTTGACTAATCCTTGCCTTGGCAACAGTCCTTCTAAAACTGGTTTTATATCTGACATTGCATACGCTCAATTATTTCTATGTGATTTAGCAGAAACTTGACTGAAATAATTGCTGATGTTTAATTTCATACCATTTACTGTTGATAGATAGAGCATTTTTGTTGCCTGTTTTAATTTATTCTTATGATCTTCATTTTATCGTTAGCAGTATTCACTATATCATTAGCAGTGATCCCAGAAGGCTAGGGCAGAGATTGAGAATTTTTTTTATAATTAAAATGCTCTTGTCGTCAAAATTTGTTACTATACAAACAGGATGCAGGAAATAGGCCAAACTAGTTTGTGAGTGTATTATTAAATAAGTAATTAAGCTCTTATAAAATAAAAGTGACAACAGCACATGAAAAGAGGAACCTTGATCTATCCAGCTGTCAGAACTGCAAAACCATTTGTTGGAAAGTAAATGGAAACTTGCTCTTGAGCACTTGCCAGCATACTCATAGTATATTAAGCTGTTTGACCCTGAGGGAGTAGTCAGTCAGCTAAAGAATTCATAATCATCAGAAACAGACTTCCCCACCATTTCAAGTTGTTAAATAATAACATTGCCACTTTCTTTTAGTGCTTTAAAATGTACAAATAATTCTGTGCATTATTGGATCTAAATAACTTACTTGCATCAGCAATCTTCCTGTGTGAAAATTAATGAGGTACAGAGCCTGTCTTGACAGGAATAGCTTCTTTGTTCTTTTAATAAATTGCAGCTCAATTTGGTGTCTTTCTGTATTTCCATAGGCAAATGCTTTTTTAAGTGATGGTTTGTTGTTTGGAAGACAAGTTTAATAAATTAACAGATTGTTGTAAAGAATCTTCTTTTGTATAAACTTTTTCAAATTATTATTTAGTATAGATTATATCAAGAACTCATTACATTTTATGCTTCTTTTCAAGCCTCTTCTGCTAAAATGGGTCTAGTTGAAACAAAGCTGGCAATCATTCCGGGTGCAGGTATGAATTTTAGTCTTGTACAATACTGAAGATAATCCAACTGCTAACCAGTGGTCTTGGTGCTTGTGATTTTGCATTGTTGGTTATACATTTTATGTTTAACTTTGTATTTTTTAAGTGTTATTAACATAGTTTTAAACCATATTTCCTAGCGAAAATTAGTAAAAAGTTTCTTTTTCTTTAAAGAAATGAGTTATGTAGGATTGTTTTTTTTTTAATGGATGCCCGCCTTAACGGTTATGTAAATGGGGTTAATGTCTTTGAAGGCTGATGTCATTTGTGTAGGGGCATGTGCAAAAACATTAATTTGTAACTATTAGTATAGCAGAAATGGTAATTTAATTTGATGATCCAACACCATATACCATCTTAGAATCATAGAAGATTAGCATTGGAAGAGACCTGAGGAAGTCATCTAGTCCAACCCCCTGCTCAAAGCAGGACCAACCCCAACTAAATCAATCTGTTCCTAAATCTGTTCCTTTAGGACACTAATTCAACTTTTGTATTGCTTTTTAGTCAGTTATATGAAGATACTGACTGTGAAAGTGTGGTGTATGTATCACTCTATCGCATTCAGAATGTTTTTGATATCTTCAGAGGACAGAGACTACTATTTTATTTTAACACCTTCTTCCACTTGGAAGGACAGTTGGCCCTACTCCGGATTCAGGGTGGCTGAAAAGAATAAAGGGGTAATGATGTTTGATTTGAGTCCCTTCTATTGTGAAGGGCATTTATTTTTGTTTTCCAGATAAAAGCACACTGATTTGAACCAAACTATTTGCCTTTGTAATGGAAGAACAATATCTTGAGGAAACAAAACTTCTCTGCTAGGGCTTTAGCTGATGTTGCTAGAAGTGTTTTGAGAATTTTATGCCTCAGCTTTGGAGTAATGTTCTTTCTGATTGGTGAAGGCTGTTGGGGAAATACTAGGTCTGTTGCTAATGGAAGTTGTCAATGCTTGTAGCAGGAAGAGCAGGGTGCCAACTGTCCTTAAGGAAACATTGGTGCAACCTCTGGATAAGAAACAACCACTTGAATTTGACAGTCTGGATGCTTTTTGTCCTGTTTCAAATTTTCCATTATTGGTTAAGATTATTGAGGAAGTTGTGATGCGACATCTCGCAATATCTTAATTAGGTGTTTCAGATCTCCTAGTTTATTCTCAGTTTGAATTCAGACCTTTGTTTGGCATGGGTACCACACTGGGTTATCCTGATGGTTGATCCCTTCTTAGCCATGGGTGAAGATGAGGTATTCATACATATATTTTTAGGTCTGTCAGTTGCCTGTGGTGCCGTTGATCATGATATATTATTGCCTTGCCAATTGATCCTAGTGGGAGTAGATGAAGGTGCAGTTGATTACCTATGTTCTTTTATTTCAGAGAGCTCCCACAGGGTGGTGTTGAGGATGGTGGCATCCTAGAGGCAGAAAACCAAAGATAGTATAGGCAGTGGCTGGTCGATGTTCAGTTATTTCAAGAATGAGACTATGGAAAAACATGTTGTTTTGGCCATGTTAAATTCTAGTGAGCTTTTCTTTGAACAGCTCTAGTGCCCCCATGACTTTCTGTCAGGGATGTGTCTGCAATGGAGATGTGGATTCTGTCCCAAATCTGGCCGGGTTATAAGCCTTTGAAAAATTGTAGTTTGTGCAAGCTCGGTAGAGACTTCTTTGATTTTACCAGCTAAAATCTCCAAAGATTCCATCCTAATTGAGCTTGCTCAAACCTCTCACAATTCCTAGTGTTGATCACACTGCACTTACACAACCCCTACAGAGTGACTGAACATGCTCCATATGTTCTCATCTCTTACTTGTGATTGGACTGTGACTGTAGGGAAGGATTGCAGACCAAGTTGGATGAGCAAGCATCTCAAACCGTGATTAAGAGAAAGCAGAAAGCCTACAAGAATGGAAGATGGGATAGATCAGCAAGGAGAGCTACCTCTTGGAGTGTGGGGATAAAGTGAGAACTGCCAAAAGCCAAGCAGAGTTGGGTCTTGCAAAGGAAATTAAAACCAATAGTAAAAGATTTGATAGCCATATAAATAAAAAGAAAACAAGGAAAGAAAAAATGGGACCACTAAGCACTGAAGATAGGGTGGAGATTAAAGATAATCTAGGCATGGACCAACACCACAACAAATACTTTGCCTCAGTTTTTAATAAGGGTAATGAAGAGTTTAGGGGTCATGGCAGGGTGGCTAATGGGAACAAGGATATGGAAGTAGAAATTACAACATCCACGTTGGAAGTCAAACTGCAACAGTTTAATTGGATTAAATTTGGGGGCCTGGATAATCTCCATCCAAGAATATTAAAGGAACTGGCACATGAAATTGCAAGTCCAATAGCCATGATTTTTAATGAATCTGTAAACTCGGGGGTTATACCCTATGACTGGAGAATTACTAATAGAGATCCTATTTTTAAGAAAGGGGGAAAAAGTGATCCAGGAGATAACAGGCCTATTAGTTTTAATTCAGTTGTATGCAAGGTCTTGGAACAAATGTTGAAAGAGAAAGTAGCTAATGACATAGAAGTAAATAGTAATTGGGATAAAATATAACATGGTTTTACAAAAGGTAGATGGATTTCCTTCTTTGATAAGATAACTGGTTTTTTAGACAAAGGAAATACGGTATATCTAATCTACCTGGATTTCAGTCAGGCATCTGATACAGTTAAATTGGAGAAGATGGGAATTAATATAAGGATTGAAAGGTGGATAAGGAATTGGTTAAAGGGGAGACTACAATGGGTCATACTGAAAGGCTGCCAGGCTGGAGGGAGGTTACTAGAGGAGTTCCTCAGGGATCGGTCTTGGAACCAATCTTATTTAACAGTTTCATTAATGACCTTGGCCCAAGAAGTGGGAGTGTGCCAATAAAATTTGCAGATGACACACACTTGGGAGGTATTGCCAATATGGAGGAAGACCGGAATATCATACAAGAAGATCCAAAGAACTTTGAAAACTGGAGTAATAGAAATGGGATGAAATTTAATAGTGCAAAGGGACTATCAACAAGACGTTTTGCTATAATCTGGGGACTTCCAGTTGGAAGCAACAGAGGAGGAGAAAGACCTGGATATATTGGTTGGCCACAGGATGACTATGGCCATCCTGTGGCCAACCAATGTGATGCTAATCTGAGCTGCTAATGTGATGCGGCTGTGAAAAAAGGCTAATACAGTCCTAGGCTGCATCAGGCAAGGTATTTCCAGTAGAGACAGGGAAGTGTTAGTACCATTATACAAGGCACTGGTGAGACCTCATCTGGAATAGTGTGTGCAGTTCTGGGCTCCCATGTTTAACAAAAAATGAATTTAAACTGGAACAGTTGCAGAGAAGGGTTACTAGGATGATCAGAGGAATGGAAAACCTACTTTATGAGTGGGGAATCCAAGAGTTTGGCTTGTTTAGCTTAACCAAAAGAAGGCTGAGGGGAGATATGACTGCTCTCCATAAGTACATCAGAGGGATAAATATCGGGGAGGGAGAGGATTTATTTAAGTTAAGCGCCAATGTGGACACAAGAACAAATGGATATAAACTGGTCGTCAACAAGTTTAAGCTTGAAATTAGACAAAGGTTTCTAACCATTAGGGGAGTGAAGTTGTGGCACGGCCTTCCAAGTGGAGCAGTGGGGACAAAAAAATCCTAAGTGGCTTCAAGACTAGGCTTGATAAATTTATGGAGGGGACATTATGATGAGACTGCATACAATGGTATGTAGCTGATGTGTGAATGGTAGCAGCAAATATCTTCAATGGCCAGTGATGGGACACTAGAAGGGGCGGGTTCTGAGTTACTACAGAGAATTCCTTCCCAGGTGTCTGGCTGGTAGGTCTTGCCCACGTGCTCAGAGTCTAACTGATTTGCCATATTTGGAGTTGATAAGGAATTTTCTCTTGGGTCAGATTGGCAGAGACCAGTGTTCCCTCTAAGCTGCGTGCCTGCATGGCCGCACAAGAGTCAATTGAGTGCCATGCATTTGATTAGTAGAGCTGCGCACATCCGGCAACTTGTGTTCAGATGCCCCTCCACTCCACTGCTCCTGCCCTCTGCCTTGGAGCTCCTGGGACCCTCCTGCTTGCTGTGCAGAATTGGGGAGGAGGGGACACTGATGTCAGGGTGTTCCTCTCCCCCGCCTCTCTCTGCCCATGTACCCCATCTCTGTAGAGTGGGGGAGGAGGACAAGGCTCAGGAGGTGGACTGAGCTGCTGGTGGCTGCTGCGGTCTGAATGAGCCTTCAGACTGGTGAGTGCGGCTGTGCTTAAAGAGAGAGTGCACAGTCTCTCATACGCTTCCCCAGCAGCCAGCACACACACACTCTCTGTCTCTCATTCACACGCTGTCTCTGTATGTGTCTCTCTCTCACTCACACACACACTCACTCTCTGTCTCTCACACACTTCCCGCCCAACACATAGAATCATAGAATATTAGGGTTGGAAGAGACCTCAGGAGGTCATCTAGTCCAACCCCCTGCTCAAAGCAGGACCAATTCCCAACTAAATCATCCCAGCCAGGACTTTATCAAATCTGGGCCTTAAAAACCTCTAAGGATGGAGATTCCACCACCTCCCAAGGCAACCAATTCCAGTGCTTCACCACCCTCCTAGTGAAATAGTGTTTCCTAATATCCAACCTAGACCTTCCCCACTGCAACTTGAGACCATTGCTTCTTGTTCTGTCATCTGCCACCACTGAGAACAGCTGAGCTTCTTCCTCTTTGGAACCCCCCTTCAGGTAGTTGAAGGCTGCTATCAAATCCCCCCTCACTCTTCTCTTCTGCCGACTAAATAACCCCAGTTCCCTCAGCCTCTCCTCGAAAGTCATGTGCCCCAGGCCCCTAATTATTTTTGTTGCCTTCTGCTGTACTCTCTCCAATTTGTCCACATCCCTTCTGTATTGGGGGGACCAAAACTGGATGCAATACTCTAGGTGTGGCCTCACCAGTGCCAAATAGAGGGGAATAATCACT